CCACAACTAAGGAGCCCACCTGCTGCAACTAAGATCTGATACAACCAAATAAATAAGAAAATAAAATAAATAAAATAAAACAGTATCCCTACTACAAGACAAAAAAAATTTTTTTTTGGTTTATTGTCTGCCTTTCTCCAATAGAATATAAACTACAAGGAAGAGAGGCCTTTGTTTAATGCACTGCTATATCCTCAGAGTCTAGAACAGCAGCACCTAGAATCTGCTGAACAAGATTGGCACAAAGACTGTATATATGCCTCCAATTAAAACTTCCCTCACAGATACTAAAAAAGAGGTAAGAAAACAGTTTGGAACCCCGCGCGCTCTGTAACTTAGAACGAAACAACTACCCTCTAGAAGAAAATATTTTATTTTCAACAAAATATACTAACGAATGGCTGGATTCCCTAAAAACAAAACATTAGTGCTAAGCGCACACATGCTGCAAGTCTGTTGGTACTGAATGCTTTGGTTTATCACCCAAGACTTGTGCTAAGTCATTTTCCTACGAACCAAGAAAATCTGGCTAAAGACACTTAAGGAAAAATAAAAGCGGAGTTAACCTATTAATGCTGTACAAGGATTAGGAAATACAGGATATACGAGTCCAAAGCTCACAGTACAGAGTGAGAGACCAGAAATCGAAATTGGGAGTGTTTGCCCCCTAGAGACACTGAGAGAGACAAAGTCCACAAAGGACTGCACCCCTTTTCTTGGCGCTAGGCATGGCATGAACACTCATTCCGGGGGTGCAGGGGGGCATGGAGTTTGGGACTGTGAGGCCTGTTTAGGACTGGAGTGGTGTATCCGGGCCACTCTCCTCTGCACAGACTTTCGCTCAGGAGAAAAGAGAGTGCCGACTGCGCCTACCAGCTCCCAAAAAGGCTTGGGGGAGGGGTGATGAAGGTAGACCCCTCCCCTTCCCCAAGGCAAGCCCAGGGCCCGCAGGGCTACCCAGTGTCCCGGCTCACCCGGCTCCCGGTTGATCTCGATGTCGAAGTGACACTGCGGCCGGTCCTGCGCCCCCATCGCGACCGAGGCGGCGGCAAGAGCTGGGAGAGACGGGGAGGAAAGCGGTCAGGGCGCGGGGCTAGGGCGGAGCCCGCGCCTCAGTCACCTCCCGCTGGCCTGGTGCGACAGCGCCCGAGGCCGAGACCAGCTCCCTCTCACCCCAGGCCTCCCGGCCCCCATGGAGCGCGCACACACATGCAGACTAGCTCTTCACCTGGCTGGCCTCCAGCCTGAGCTGCTCCCCGTGAGCAGAGAAGAAACCGCTGCCACCACGGCCGAAGCCCAACGCCACTAACAGACCACCACCCCCGCCCCCTGGCCCGGCCTCCCAGTGCCACGCTAAACCCCGCGAGAGTCGGGACAAATACCGCGAGAGTACGGTCTCGAAGGCTGTGGGTAACAGAAGGGGGTGCGCTTACGTGGGCGTGCCTTGGAGCTCGAAGAGCCTCCAGCCCCGGCGCTCCTATTCCTGAGCTGGCCCTGTTTTGCCCCGCCCCTTTCCCCCTGTGTACGTTGGAATCAGTCGCCCAATCTGGGAGACCCGGACGCGCCTGTGCTCTCTACGTTCAGTGGTCCTTTCTCAAGGACTGTGTCTACGTATTTGCAGATACCGCGAGGCTTTCCTGTTTCCGAATCTGCGAAACAGTTGGGAGAATGAGGTTGTTGAGGTTTAGTAGAGCGACAGAGCTTTGGTTTTCTTTTTCTCAAGGAGTAGTTATGGCACTATCCCGTTAGACCATAGGCTGAACTGTGCGTTCGTCCGCGCTTTGGGGCCAGCGTCACTGGTATAGTTGTGTTCAAGGCCGCTCTCCCTCTTTTGTGAAGTGTCAGTTCAAGACCTTTGCCCTTATTTTAATCGCGTTCTTCGTCTTATAGAATGCAAGGGTTCTGGATACTAACATGTTAGATGATATATGTATGTTCTGAATACAACTCTCTTGTTAGGTTTATGTAAGTGCGAATATTTTCTCCCAATCTGCGTCTTGTCTTTTGTTTTGAAAGTGGCTTGTGCAAAGCACAAGTTTTTCGTTTTTGATTAAATCACTTGATCAATTTTTTCTTTTATGGCTTGTGCTTCTTTGTATAGGAAATCTCTGCCTACCCCAAGCTCGAGAAGGTTTTCTCCTATGTTTTCTTTTAGAAGTTTTGTAGCCCAACCTTACACCATAGGTGTAAGTCTATGATCTATTAGAATTTGTGGATGTGGGGTCAGGTAGAAGTTGAGGTTCATTTCTTTTCCCCGTAGGTCTATACAGTGGTTCCACCACTATTTGTTGAAAAGACTTTTATCCATTGAATTACCTTGGCTTTGTGACCACATATGTGCGATTCTATTTCTGGACTCTATTTGTTACACTGATGTATCTTTGGGCTGGGGCCACACTGTTGGGTTGTAGTTGTTGTTTTCCATTATTTTCTTAAAATTGTAAAATATACATAAAATTATCTTTTAACTGTTTTTTAGCTTACAGTTCAGAGGCTGTTAACTACATTCACATTGTTGTGCAACCATCACCACCATCTATCCATAAGACAATTTTCATCTTGTAAAACTAAAACTTTGGGGACTTCCCTGGTGGCGTGGTGGTTAAGAATCCGCCTGCCAATGCAGGGGACACAGGCTCGATCCCTGGTCCGGGAAGATGCCACATGCCGCGGAGCAACTAAGCCCGTGCACCACACCTACTGAGCCTACGCTCTAGAGCCTGCGAGCCACAACTACTGAGCCTGCATGCCGCAACTCCTGAAGCCCATGTGCCACAATTACTGGAGCTTGAGCACCTAGAGTCCGTGCTCCACAAGAGCAGCCACCGCAATGAGAAGCTGGCACACCGCAAGGAAGAGTAGCCCCCGCTCGCGGCAACTAGAGAAAGCCCGCGTGCAGCAACAAAGACCCAAAGCAGCCAAAAATAAATAAATAAATAAAAATTTTAAAAAACTAAACTAAAACTTGGTACCAATTAAACAATAACTCCTCATTCTCCCCTCTACCCAGGATCTGGTAGCCACTCTCTACTTTGTTTTTGTTTTACTTTATTGTGGTAAGAACACAACATGAGATCCACCCTCTTTTTTAAAAAATTTTTGGCCATGTCATGCAGCATGTGGGATCTTAGTTCCCCAACCAGGGATCGAGCCCACACCCTGTGCAGTGGACGTGCAGAGTCTTAGCCACTGGACAGCCAGGTAAGTCTCGAGATCCACCCTCTTTAACAGATTTTTAAGTATTCAAGCTGTCTAATAAAGGGGGGCAGCTGCCATCCTACTCCAGCTGATGGTTGCCACATGGATCTGTAACCCAGCATTGCTAGAAAGCCAGGCTTTTATAGGAAATCCTCTTGTTTTTTAAATATTAGCAACTAATTCAAAACTAAATACATTGCACAGCACCCACCATGTCTGCTGATCAGATTAGGCCCATGAACAGCCTACTTGGCATGGAGTATGAGCACAAACCACATGAACAGTAGAGGAGGGAGGAGACCAATGATGAGTTAGAACCCTACAGATGGCAGAACGGGTGGGGGAGCAGGCTGCCTTCCAGACTTGAGAAGGCCTAGAAAGGGCCAGAGCCTTCAGCTAACACACAAAGCTAACACACTTGGTTGTTTACCATGTGCCCAGCTCTCAACTGCATTATCTCCATCTCACAACGTCAGGAGGCGGATACTACTTTCATTATCCCCATTTTAGAGCTGAGGAAACAGAGCTTTCTGAGGTTGTGTTAGATCTGGGACTCAAAATGAGGTCTCTCTTCACTGTTTACATGTTACAGCCTCCCTGGGTTGCAACCCTTGACTCCAACAAAAGGTTTTAATTTGGGGTTCACAAGAATCTCTTTGCCTCATTTAACAGATAAGTCTCAAAGAGGGAAAGTTCTTTATAGAACAAAGCTAATAGAGACAAAAAGAACAATAAAATAGAAAATCACCATTATGTAATCCCTGAGGAAGTAACAGATCAAAGCTGGGTAGATTATAATTTAAGTGAAAGGCTATCAGGACTTGATAATAAATCAGATTAGGTTATTTCCTGATGTGATGTGAAAGCAAGCAATTCCTACGATGTATTCTTGCCAAAAATATTAGAACCTGAGTCTGAATGAGCCTCTACCAGTTTATAGGAAAAGTGGGCGATTAGTGGGACAGATATAATGACACCACAGGGATACAACAGAAATGTGAAAAATTTTAGAGCAAATGACCTAGTTTTTCCAGCAAATGGCAAAGAAAAGAAAAGGGAACTGTTAAGTACTTTTAGAGACTTAAGGGACATTAACAAGATGCAGGGTGTAAATCTTGTTTGGATCCTGATTCAGACACATCAACAAAAACACATTTTGTGGGAACAAAAGAAAATTGAACATCGTGGAATTCAGGGCATGCTACTCCAAAATATGGCACCTTGGCATATTGAATATTTCAAGCTGAAGGAATGAGAAATGGCAGATGCTGGAAGGACTCTCAGACCTTCTCCCATGAAACAGGTCATGAGACCCTCATATTAGAAGTGTCCTCCCTACATCCAGAGGGACACAGATTTTGAACAAAAAGGCCTTACTAAGTTCCCTCCAGTTTACTACACCTAGCTCATAACCTTATGTCCTATCACATTTTTCCATGACTTTCTACTTTTCATCAAACTTACTATAAAAATGCTCAGGTTTAACTGCTTCTTTGGGTCTTCATTTCCTTATGAAGGCTCCCATGTCATATAAAACTTATATTACATAAATTTGTATGCTTTTATTAATCTGTCTTTTGTTATAGAGGCCTAGCCAAGAACCTTAAAAGGATAGAAAGAAAAAGATATCCTTCCTCCCCTATCACATCTTCTATTAGTAGATGATGTTAGATAATAATTAAGAAAAACTATTAATTGTGTTAGCAATGATAATGGTGTCGTTACATATATTTTTAAGTCTTTACACTTTTTCTCAAAAACCAAATGGAAGACTTATTACGTGAAAATTTCTACGCCTCATCAGTTTTTTGTGGAAAGGCAAGCTTTATTTCAAAGCAACCTGAAAAGAGCAGTCAGGGGGTCCACAACCACAAACTGGTAGGAGGGCACACACAGTTACATGTCCATTGGCAGGGTCTCAGTCGGGAGTCTCGCCCAATACCTGCTCAGTTTCCTCTTCAGGTTGAAACTGAAAAGGTAGACTCGAAGATGCCCCTGATGTCCAAACACACTTATTTCAGGAAGGAGGACACCTGGAGTCAACTTAATTGAGCGAATCCGCTTAATTATTAAAATAAATATTCTCTCTGAGAATACGGTTAATTTAGTAGCTTTCTTTGCATTTTCACATTTTTAAAAGAGCTACAGAGGTTCCATTCACCTTCAAAGCAGGTGAGTTGGTAAGGATCCTGCCTCCATTTCCTAGGAAATAGATTACATTTGATTACTCCTCACAACAGCCAACTGGAAGATTATTCCATTGCTTTTGAAGCACTGGTTGGGTTGGCGTCTGCGATGGTGGCCAAATAAATGAGATTTCTGTGTAACACATGCTGGTACCTATGGGTAAAAAACAGGTAAAAATTAGATGTTTGCTTTTACTGAACATGAACAAAAAACTGGAAAAGAATTTATCCACCCCAGTGAATGGCTCATCCACTGACTGGATCACTCAGTGTTGTCAACCTTCTTATTTAACATATTGAAGGAAAATATATCCAGAATCTTACCTGTTCTCACTTCTCACTTCCATAGCTACCTCTCTAGGCCAAGCCACTATCACTTCTTGCTTGGACTACTGGAGCAGTCTCCTAACCTGTCTCCCTGCTCTACCTTTGCACCCCTACTCTAATTATCCGCATAGCAGCCTGAGTGATCACTGTACAATTTAGGTCAAGACCATGTCATACCTCTGTTCAAAACCCTCCAAAGGCTCCCATCTCATTATGAGTAAAGCTGAGCCCTCATGGCCTATAAGGCCCTATATGATCAGGGCCTCTAGTTACCCTCTCTGATCTCATCTCCTACCACTTTCCCTTTACTCACTGAGTTCTGGCCAGAGTGGCCTCCTCGCTATGACTTGGAGATATCCAGCACTCTCTGGCCTGGGGGCTTTTCCACCTGATACTCTCTCTGATTCACGTATCTGCATAGCTGCTCCCCCACCTAAGGCATCTACTCAAATGTCACATCAAAAATACCTGGTATAAAGTAGCGCTCTTCCCCCCACTTACCCTGCTTTATTCTTATTCGAAGTGCTTATTAGTATGTGCCTAGTTATATGACTCTACAGTCTAGAAGGTAAGTTCCATGAAAGCAGAGCTGGTATCTGTTTTGGTACTGATTCCCCAGCGGCTGAAACAGTGCCTGGCACTCAGTACTACTTATAAAATATCTTGAACAGGGAATTCCCTGGCAGTCCGGTGGTTAGGACTTGATGCTTCCGATGCAGGGGGCAGGGTTTTGATCCCTGGTCGGGGAACTGAGATCCCGCATGCCACATAGCGCCCCCCCCCCCCCGCCAAAAATTTTTTTTTGAACAAACTTAAAGAAGGGACAAGACACTTCCATGATCAATGCACACTTACTATAATAGCGATTCTCAATCAGGGGGTAGAGCTCTCCACCTAGGAAGACAAATCAGGCTAGGGGGCAGGAAGCGTGGACGGTGCAGTGTGAAACGGTCCATTAGGAGATTTTGATAACTTTCTTACCCCATAGTTCGAGAATCACTGCACCAAATGGAGTGTTTTGCAACTATTTTCCATATAGAAAAATGAGAGTGTTTACTATAAACTGTACAAAAGCAAAGTACCAAATGCCAGTGTCCAATGTAAAGACTTACCCAAAGATGGATATCTCTACTATTCCACCGAGCTGTTCAGTGAGGGATTGTAGGTTACTTTTTTAGGGGGTGGGAAAAGCATGGCTTCGGTAACAATGAAATAAATTTTTTTGTTTCTGTAATAAATGGGGCATAATTCCCGGAACGACATTTAGAAAAGAGGCTGTTTTCTCTCATTTTGGCATATAGCTAGAGGGCACGTTAAATTACTGTGCCAAATTTACCTCTGTCTTAACCTGGAAATCTTTTATTGGTCTTTGCATGTGTTACAAGAAAAGTATGAGCCAGGGTTCCACGACCAGAAAGCAGCCGCTGATCTCATCACCTCCGGACACTAGTTTTCCGAGTGCTTTCCTCCCCATCCCTGTTGTCATCGGCTGACGTGGCTTCACCTGAAGCAGTCTTTGTAATGAGCACAATTCAAGTTTTGAAGAGGGAGCCACGTCTGACTCCAAGCTTCACAGTGCACTGTCCGTATGGTCTTGGGCAGGTAACCTCTCTGAGCCTCATGTGCGATCAATCACTCAAGACTCCTAGTTCAGGTCAGCTGCTGTATTCCTATACTGGCTTCCCCGCCAAACTCATTAGTCAGGGGAATAGGGAGGGGACTTACTGGACGCATTCATTCGCCCGGCCTTTGTTCTGATATTCCACAATACAGCGGATCAACTGATCATTCTCCTCCAGGAGCTGAAAGATCAAAGGGTCAGTGCAGCACGACATCAGGCCGGCGGGGACAACTGCCTCCTTCCCCGCCCCCGCCCCAATGCCGGGATTTCCAGCCCCAGCGCCTCTGCTGACTTCATTCCCATCTGACAGCAAGTCACCCTACGCACACCAGTCTCAGCTGCTCACTCCAGGAAGCTTCCAGCACCCGTAGCACTTCGGGATCTCTGCTAAGATCGCTCTGCCCGCATTAGCGCTCACCCGCTGGATCGTCTCCTGATTGACTTCCGCCTTGCCTCTCAGCCAGTCCGGCACGAAGGCCACCGACATCCCGGGAAGCCAGGTTGGAAGGCTGCCTCACGCTTGCAGACCCCCGCGCGTCTAGACCAGAGCTGACCAGCAGCCCTAGACGCCCTACAGCCGCAGCAAGGACCCAAGATAAGTGGGCATACGCTCTCGACGTTGATTGGGTCCTCCCACCTAGCGGGCGGGGAACAGGCGGAACGTCATTTGTGATTGGGCGCGCAAGAGCGATTCTCAGCGTCCTCCTCCGACTCTGCCCCTGGGGCTTCGGTGCTGTTTGTGGATCTTTTGAGTTTGCGCAAGCTAGCCTCAGGGGCGGGGCCCGGCGTCAGCTCCTTGCCTTTTAGGCTTTGGGCCCTGCTTGTCTGCGGCAGCACCTTATCAAGGCTGGAACATGGCTCCAAATCCACACCTCTTTCAACACCACTCTGGTGCTTCCAGGCTTGCGTCTGGAGCCTGAACCCTGGGCATTGCCTTCTGCCAACCCAAACCCTGCAGGGCCAGGGAAAACACCAGTGTCAGCTTTACCCTTTGCTGAGGGAGAAACTCGCCTATAGGCCTCTTTTTCCTTTGGGCCCTTCTTTTTTTTTTTTTTTTTTTAAATCAGATTTACAACCCTAAAAAGCACTATTATTTTCCCCAATTTACAGATGAGAAAACAGAGGTTAAGTTACTTGCCCAAGATCTCATAGCTACTAAGGGCAAAGTCAGTATCTGAACAGAAGCAGTCTGGCTTTAGAATTTTTGATTTCAACCACTGCCCTGCACAGCCTATGCACCATACTGCAGAGGTGGTTTGCTGCAAGATAAAGGGAGGAAGCTGGGCCAACCTCTTGGGCCACCCTGTTACTGCTGGCAACCACTAAAACTCTGAATTGGTTGTCTTCTCTTTTGTCTAGTCCATCCATGGTAAACATGGGAGCAAGGTTGGTTTTCTCTGTAGCAGAGAGTGAGAAGCAGCCACTTAATTTAGGAGGCAGATCTTGGAAGACTTTACTCCTCAAAAAGGGTATCAGGGCATTTCTGACTTCTAGAGCTTCATTTCCCTGAGTGGTGGCCCTGATCCAGAGCAGGCTCATCTGCTTTGCTGGGCTCTCCCTCCACAATTCCCTTATTCATCCCTCGGAGGAGGTTTCATCCCATTTAACAGAGGGCTAAGTGTGAGTGATAAATTAGCTGTGGATGTGTACATGGAGATGTGTACATGGATGTGTACATGGAGGTGATGTCTAATGGAGATGTTGAAGTTTGTGGCTGGCTGTTTGGCTGGAACTCAGGGCCAAGACTGGCTGGTGATGTAAACTTTGAGAAGGATCATTTGTGGAAACTGGCATCATCCTTGAGGCTACTTTGTCACCCTTTCACATCCAATTCATTACCAAGTCCTGTTGATCTTGCTCCTATATTTCTCTGCAGCCTGCCCAGTTCTCTTCCTTTTTACCACCGTTCCTGCCTAAGCTCCAGCTTCATCCTCTCTTGCCCAGTCAACTGCACTGGCATCCCAGCTGGTCCTACCACAGTTTCCATGAGCCTTCTCCACTTTGATCTTAACATCAGCAGCCAAAGTGATTTTTACAAAATGCAAATCCAATCAGTTTTCCCCTGTCCCAAACTCTACCATGGCCTCCAAGAGCCTATATGGTCTTACCTCTTCTTCTCTCTCTAGTGGCTCTCACTCTACTCCTTTACTCTCTAAACTCTGAGTTTCAGCCAAAGCAGTCTTGAGGAAAAAAGCAGAGCTGGAGGAATCAGACTCCCTGACTTCAGACTATACTACAAAGCTACAGTAATCAAGACAATATGGTACTGGCACAAAAACAGAAATATAGATCAATGGAACAGGATAGAAAGCCCAGAGATAAACCCACACACCTATGGTCAACTAATCTATGACAAAGGAGGCAAGGATATACAATGGAGAAAAGACAGCCTCTTCAATAAGTGGTGCTGGGAAAACTGGACAGCTACATGTAGAAGAATGAAATTAGAACACTCCCTGACACCATACACAGGAGTAAACTCAAAATGGATTAGAGACCTAAATGTAAGACCGGACACTATAAAACTCTTAGAGGAAAACATAGGAAGAACACTCTTTGACATAAATCACAGAAAGATCTTTTTGATCCACCTCCTAGAGTAATAGAAATAAAAACAAAAATAAACAAATGGGACCTAATGAAACTGCAAAGCTTTTGCAAAGCAAAGGAAACTACAAACAAAACAAAAAGACAACCCTCAGAATGGGAGAAAATATTTGCAAACGAATCAAAGGACAAACGATTAATCTCCAAAATATATAAACAGCTCATGCAGCTCAATATTAAAAAAACAAACAACCCAATCCAAAAGTGGGCAGAAGACCTAAATAGACATTTCTCCAAAGAAGACACACAGATGGCCAAGAAGCACATGAAAAGCTGCTCAACATCACTAATTATTAAAGAAATGCAAATCAAAACTACATGAGGTATCACCTCACACCAGTTAGAATGGGCATCATCAGAAAATCTACAAACAACAAATGCTGGAGAGGGTGTGGAGAAAAGAGAACCCTCTTGCACTGTTGGTGGGAATGTACATTGATACAGCCACTATGGAGAACAGTATGGAGGTTCCTTAAAAAACTAAAAATAGAATTACCATATGACCCAACAATTCCACTACTGGGCATATACCCAGAGAAAACCATAATTCAAAAAGACCCATGCACCCCAATGTTCACTGCAGCACTATTTACAATAGCCAGGTCATGGAAGCAACCTAAATGCCCATCGACAGACGAATGGATAAAGAAGATGTGGTACATATATACAATGGAATATTACTCAGCCATAAAAAGGAACGAAATTGGCTCATTTGTAGAGACGTGGATGGATCTAGAGACTGTCATACAGAGTAAAGTAAGTCAGAAAGAGAAAAACAAATATCGTATATTAACACATGTATGTGGAACCTAGAAAAATAGTACAGATGAACCGGTTTGCAGGGCAGAGATTGAGACACAGATGTAGAGAACAAACGTATGGACACCAAGGGGGGAAAGCAGTGGGGGAGGGGAGGGGTGGTGGTGTGATGAATTGGGCGATTGGGATTGACATGTATACACTGATACGTATAAAACTGATGACTAATAAGAACCTGCTGTATAAAAAAATTACTAAAATAAAATTTAAATGATAAAAAAATAAACTCTGAGTTACTTCTCTTTCTTTCCTTTTTTTTTTTTTTGGTGGGAAAATGTACATAACACAAAACTTACCATTTTAACCATTTGTAAATGTACAGTTCTGTGACATTTAGTACATTACATTGTTGTGCAACCATCACCACCATCCATTTCCAGAACTTTTTCATCTTTCCCAACTGAAATTATGTGCCTATTAAATAACTCCCATCCACCTCCCCTCCCCACACCCCCATCCAGTGTTGGTTTTCATCCTTCAAGGAGCCCTGCTGCAGTCCGCACAGAGCTCTTTATACAGCTCTCTGTCTGAAACACTCTTCTTCCCTTTGCCTAGTTAGCTACTACTCATCTAATGTCACGTTCTCAGGGAAGCCTCCTTGAACCCCCAAGTCCAGACCAGAAGCTCCTGTAAATTCTTTCAAAACCCGTGCTCCTCTCGGAAGAGCACATAGCTCGGTTCGTATTTAAACACGTGCTGTGTATTGTGGGATGGGTGCTCTCACTCTGCTCTGCTAGCATAGTTTTTACTGTCAGGAGTTACTCGCTGTGTCCACAGTGCCCGGCATAGTGTCTGGTTCGCAGCAGGTGCTCAAAAATTGTTTAATGAATAAATGGATGAACACTCCTTCCCAATCTCCCTTCAGCCGGTCATCCGTCTGTGAGTACGTCCACCCCCAGACTGGGGTGTGTTCCTGGGGGTCGGACTTTGGCATCTCAGCCAGGCTGGCAGGTGGCTGTGCTCTTTGGTTTGCCTATCTCGGGCCTCCCGCCAAGCAGACAACTGAACCCACGCCCCGGGCGTGTCGCGGCGTCACGCGGCACTTCCCTGCCTCCACACGTCAGTCCGTTCGCTAACCCGGCAGGAACTGAGCTTAAACTGCAAAACTTCTCTCACCTCCGGACGTGGGAATTACAGGTTTGGAACTCAAATCCCCGCGGGTGAGAGCCAACAGATGTGAGGAAAGTTGGGAGGCGCGCCCCACACACGCCCCATCTAAATTTGGGTCGCAGTCCTTTAAGAACCGCTTCATTCAAGACTCCGCCGGGACCAGGCAGTGTGGGCGCACCAGGATTGGTAGGTTCGGGTGTGGGTGTTGCTCAGCAGCAGCGAATGAAGGCGTGGGGTGGTGTTTCAAGACTCGCGCATGCGCGCCGCCGGTGACCTGGGCCGGGTTCGCCGGGTGGGCTAAGGTTGCGGAGAAGGCTGAGGGTGGCGCGGCGGCGCGGCGGGAGAGCGCCGACTCCCGGAGGCCGCTGTCGGGGCGAGGTGAGGGCTGGCGGGCGGAGGCGGGCGCTGCGGTCTGTTAGTCAAGAGCTGGCGGCGTCGGGTGTGGCGCAGGGCGGGCCTGGAGGTGGAGGGCCGTCCCTCCCCCCCGGGCCCGCCCAGCCATCAGGCCCGGCTTAGCTCTCCAGGGCTTCGTCTGGCGTCCCGGAGTCTTCTGCCCCCCCCTTTTCTGCCGCCGGCTGCTCTCCTGACTCCAGGACGATCCGAGGTGCGCGCCTGCCAGGAACCCTCAGCGGCCGACGCGGGTAGAGCGCTGCCCCCAGTGGGAGGAGACGGGGTGTGTCCAAATGATAAAGGGGATGATTGTTTCCTTAATTATCCACGAAACTCAGGTAGAGTGTTTTAATAGCAAACTTCCCTTCGCGTGCCAATATTATAAGACTTGGTTTACCAAATACTGGGTGCACTAGACCAGCTTTTCTGAATATCAGATGTTCAGAGGTACTGTATATTTGTGTCCGTTACAGTATTACATCTAGACTTCCAGAGCCAGAAGGATTAAGCACCCCGGTGCTTAATTAGGTTTGTAGACATCAAAGCCACAAAAGAATATTCCCAGTGGTTAAAAGTAACTGGTGAGATTTGTGACACGGTCAGAAAAGTAATAAAGCTCAGACGGTGGATAGGGTAAATCTTCATTAAATTTTACAAAGAAGGGAATTAATTCTGATAGAGATAA